GGGGTGGGTCACATGATGGTTTTCTAGGAGAACGGAAGGGCGATCAGTCGTCGCCAACAGAGTAGAAAGGAGGACTATATTAAATAGACTGTTAATTAAAGCAAACGAAGGGGGGAGGGGGTCAAAACAGTATTACAAAGCCTTATGTGGAGGGGGTGTTATTTAAGTTTTATCGTGACATAACCAAAATCTTCCGGCCTCTATTCATAAATATTCGTTCAAAATAAAACAAAACAAAACTAAACAAGGTCAGATCTTACCCTAGATTTTCGGCGCTAATTTCTTTTTCTAAAAAGCGCGCAAAATGTCTTCTTCCCAAAGGATCGGCAAGAAGTTCTGACAACGAGAACGCCCATCGTTTCACACGCCTTGGAGGAACGTAATGTCTGGAAAAAAAAAAACGTTTATTAATCAATTTACTGGACCTGCCTAAACACTCCCCTTCACTATATGGCAAATAGTCCTGAGGTAGATCCAAGCGTTCTGATTGGTTCTTACTTGGTTGAGATTTTGTCGTAGGACCGTAATTTCTAAATACTTAAAGTTGAGTAGAAATATGGGATGTTTTTGTTGGAAGATCTGACGAGAGGGGAGAGGGGGTACGGATCCCCACCCGACATTCCCCCCCTGGACCCCCAAACAAGTAAATACCCTATATGTCTGACGGGAGAGGGGGGTCCAAGACCCCCACCCAACCCCCCCCCCCTGGACCCCGCTACAAATTATCGACCAATTTCCATAAGGGGGCTAAGCTAAAACGGTCACTTACAAACTCTTGTCTTGATCCCAAAGCGTCATATCGTCAGATATCCATGGATTTGACGGCTCTGGTGCCCAAATAAATGCATCATATTCTGCATAATGTTCACACCTCTGAATAAAACTGAAGACAACAAAAAAACTTTAGGCTAGACAATAAGCATGATATCATGCGAATACCGAATTCATTAAGTTATACAATAAGCATGATGTCATGCTATTACCGAATCATTAAGTTATGTGCGAGAACCCGGTACAGTTACAAACCTCCTGAACGATCTGAACCGGCACTCATTAGAACTGAGACGCAAAATTGCGAGACTTACTACCATGTACAAGATAGCGAAGACAACAATTGCGGTCAATATCCCGGAGTACAAAGCGCGCCCCACACGTGTTACACGCTCCTTCCCTAGCAGTAAATTAATTAACATTGGCAGTAATAGTAATACATATAAGTATAACTTCTTTACCCGAACTATAAAAGAATGGAACACAGTACCTTCTTTTTTATTAGACCAGCCATCTGTGGACGATTTTAAATCTACTATAACGAATTATCTTAGTTCCCTCCACTGATTTTATATATTTATTATTATTGTTATTATTAT